GTGGATTGGCTGACTGGTTCTCAATCTTTGCTGTACATTAGATCTTCCTGGGGAGCATTTGTCAGGCCTTACCCTACAGTAATTAAATTGAAATCTCCCAGGGTGGGATTCAAACATCAGCATTTGCAAAATCTCCCAGATTATTCTTATGTGCAGTCAAGTTTGAGAACCATGAGTTACATGACTTCTAAGGTTCTTCCAGATGCCCTGTCCTAGGTCAACAACTGCATGTGAAGCCAGTGCTGCTGGAGTTTTGCTTCTCCAGATATTAACCTTTTATAAAAGCCCCACATTCAACTTTTCTAGAAAGTCACTTCACTTTGGTTTACCTAACAATGTAATATTTAAAATCTATATAATGGTTGAAACTTGTCATGGTCTTTCATGCTTTAAAGAAAGAGGAAGGACTAATGAAATAAAAAAGTGTTTGAGTATCATTTAATTATTATTCTAGGTCTTCTTCTAAATCAGGGGTGGGGAACCTGAGGCCTTAAGGCCACATGTGACCTTCTAGATCCTTAAGTGTGGTCTTTTGATTGAATCCAAATTTTACAGAACAAATACTTGTATTTTTATTAATATATTTTGTTTGTCTTTTATATTTTTATTTTATTTTTAAGATTAACATTTAAAATACCAAAGAATAAAATAAGTTTCAACAAAATAATCCTCCCAGATTGATTGGCACAATTAGAACATTAGTAAGCTGTAAGGGCTAAATTGACAGTTGCTATGCTCATGATTTAGTTCTAACTTTCCTCACCTGACTGGCACCGCTACCTCATCAGGCTGGTTGGTGACAGTTTATGGGGGTCAAATACGCCAGTCTTTTATCAGCTTTTGACAATGGTGCACTGTGTTTCTGTCTGAAGTGGAATGTGTGAGTAGTTGCATAGCTCAACAGTATTTTTTAATTCTATCTGCTTCATGGCCCATCATGTCAAAGAAGACCAAGAGAACGCTGAAGGAAGAAAACAGATTTTTTAAAATGAGGATTGGGAATTGCAATATTATTTTATTTCTGCTAAAGATAAGATGATTTGCTTGCTTTGTGGTACTGCATTATCAACATTAAAGAAATTCAATGCTCATCAGCATTATAACCTCACAAAGACCACAAATAATTTAAATTAGAGGAGAGGTGCAAAAGTTTGTATTGCAGAAATTATGAAAAGCAAAAGCAAAGACTATTCTTTTAAGCAGCAATAAGACCTGGAAATAATGCCACTGAAGCAACTTATAAAGTAGCTTATATATGTGGGGGAAACGGGAAGCCATTCAGTGATGGAGAAATTGTGAAAGAATGCACTGTTGAAGTTGTAGGATGCTTTGACTCTGATGATGTTTCAAGTACAAACAGCTGCCTCTTTCAAGGAGAACAATATGGATTGGCAGCATAAATTAGCCTTCAATTTAACAGAAGAACTTCATGCAATACTTCAAAAGGAAAATATATATTATTCGATCACTTTGGATCAATCAATTGATACTACTGACTTGGTGCAGGTTGACTTGGTACAGAAGATTTTCTTTGCTATGAAGAATTACTCACTTTGGGCACTCTTGCAAGCAGAACACGGGGAATAGACATCTTCAACAACTTTAAAGATAAATGTTGTGAAGTTGGACTGAATTTGGTAAATTTAGTGTATGTACAGATGATATACCTTCCATGACAGGAAAATATGAAGGGTTTATTGCACAGATTTTAAAAAGTGTTAACAGATCCAGATGCTCTCATTTATTTTCATTGTATCTTGCATTAGCAAAATCTCTATGCTAAAGCTACTAGTTTAGGTGATACTTTGCAACAAGTAATATGTATTGTTAGTTGTATTTGTGCAAATGCAACACAGGCATCATCAGTTTTGTAACATGCTAAAGTTGAAGGATGAGGTATTCAGTTTGGATTTGCCATATCATTCTAAAGTGTATTGGCTATCACAGGGACAAATGTTAGCCAAAATTATTTCTCTGCAAGAACAGATAGTTAAATTTTATGAAGAACAGAATCAACAATGTGAATAATTGAAAGAAGATTTCTATAGGAATGCAGGATTTCTGTGTGGTATCATATCAAATCAAAATGACTTGAATATTTCTTTGCAAGGTAAAACTAAGTCTATATATGATATAGGTGGCAAAAAAATCCAAGCATTTTTTAAAAAAGCTATCTTTTTTCAAGACACTTCTTTAAAGGGAAATTTCGGATGAACATTTTCCCCAGTTAGCAAAGGTCATTGATGAGCAGAATTATATACATGAATTATTTGAAGCATGCGAAGCTGTTAGAGACCTATTAAGTGGAGAATACAATGAAAGGTTCACTGACTTTGAGAATCATGACCTCACACCAGCATCTCAGCCTCACCTAGTTGACATCACCAAGGCATCTAAAGAACTGCAGATGGGATTGATTGAGCTCCAGTAGATGACATTTTGAAGTCATCGTTTAATGCTAAGAAAGATCCAATTGAAATATCGAAAAAGGCAGTAGAATACCCACACCTTCGTCAATAAGCCAAAAAAATGCTTTCTTGATTTTCAACCACCTATCGTTGCGAATCTACGTTTTCCTACCTAACCCAAATCAAGACGCCCTTAAGGTCACAAATGACTGATACCATCTAGAAGATCAACTGAAACTGGGGACTTGCATGCTACAACCAAATATTCAAGTGCTTCCAACAAAAAGCAGATACAACAACGTGTTTAAAAGATTAATTAATTTTAAAATTAACAAATAGTTTTCATTTTTTGAAATTATTAAATACATAGTAGTTCGATTTTTACAAAATAATGCACATTTTAAGTATATCTAATTGAAGTTTCTTGAATGTGGCCTTATTTGATTACTGCTAAATTAATGTGGCCTTCTAACATGAAAAGGTTACCCATCCCTGCTCTAAATGATATCTTGGGGTTCTCAAAAAAATAATGTAATCTAGTCACCCAGCACTAAGCCCTCATTTGGTCTGAGGACCGTTACATTCCAGCTGGAGATAGAGAAGTGAATAGCCTTTTGCACTGGAGGAACTCCCAGTCCAAGATGATAATAACAATAGCAATAATAACAACAAAAGCAGCAGCCATGATTGGAAAATACTTGTTGCATGGCAGGCAATGTGACAAGTGCTTTTTATAAATTATTTTAGATCATCACAACATCCCTGCTAGGTAAGCATCATTTCCTTCATTTTATTGCTGAGGAAACTAAGGACCAGAGAGGTTAGGTAACTTGCCAAGGTTGCACAACTAAGAAGTAGCTGATCTGCTATTCTGACCTATGTCTGTAAGATTTAGAAGACTATGATATTTCCTCCATATCACAGCACCTCTAGAAGGAAAGGATAGAGAAGAAATAGAGATAGAGATGGCAGGGAGAGGGTTAACTTTCCTGGGGGAGAATCAGGCCCAGGGTGGAGGAATTGCTATGAATTGTTCACATTAAAAGTGTTATAAGAAAATAAATCTTATAAATCTATATTTTAACTGTGTTGTGGACTAAATCCTGTTAGAAGATACAACACTGAAACAGATAAATTCATTATGAAGGGCTAATTCTTCTGCAGTGAGTCCCAGCTCCCTCAAATTAGTCTTCAAAAATAAACCCATTGTATTCCTCTGTGAATTGCATGGCTCAACAACATCATCTTTTAGCCAGCACGAGCTCTTTGGTTCTAAGCAGATTTTCACTTTTGCTGACTGCTGTCAGTGACACAAAATGCACAAACAGGAAAGGATGGTGGTAGGCACAGCTGCAACAGTCTCTTTCTCTGTGTGTTCAGATCTAAACAGTAAGAACCAGCACTCTCTGAAGGCACACACACACACATAGACACACACACACACATAGACACACACACACACATAGACACACACTATTCAAAATGAGTTAGGGTCTGGAGAACACATTATATTCCTATATATATGTTAGTTAACTCAGAAATCTAAATTTATTATTTGAGAAATCCACTGGGCTAAAATAATTCACCTATGAAGCAAGATATAGCTTGGGGGGTATTAAACACACTATGGCCTAGAGCAGGAAAAGGGAAAAAGAAAAAAAAGCAATAAATTTTCTTAATGAGCCTTTCACAAACTACCATTTCATGTTGTTGCCAAAACAAGTGAAATCACCAAAGGAACTTAGGATCTTAAAGAATATTCAAAGACTGTAGAAAGTGGTATAGATATCAGATATTTTTTTTAAAGATTCTAAAAAATACTTATTACATTCACAAAATGGAAATTTCCTGTATATACGTAGAAAATATAATTATATAAAAGATTATATACACATATATATACACAAACCGCATAGGCAAAACGTACACAGTAGACTATATGGCCAAATATATATATTACAAGGATGAGTCAATTTCACAGCAACCTTTTCATATGGAAAATTACCTCTACTCTGGAAATTATGAGTAAAGAAGATACACCCTTCACTGAGAATTGTAACAGAGTGATAAGTCATTACACAGCCTGGGATGACAGAGTGTATCAACACAACATAAATATGGGCAACATCTATTCCTGCAGGGAATCACGAGATGCTTAGGAAGCTATCGTAATGAGATACTGGGTTAATAGACTGCAAAGACACACGTGATGTGTTCTTCTATTACTTACTCTAATATTTTTTAACGAGTTGAAGAAAAACTGAGACTAAAGATGACACTATCTGAAATAGTTGGTGTGCCTGAGGCCCAATTTTTAAAATGTTAAGTAGGAATGTTTCAAGAAGCAGACAGACCATAAGCTTATTTCTCTCTTCCACATGCTTATCAAATTAGAAGTGAACAGTTAGAACAGGTTTGTTTTCTAGGTGAAATTCTCTTTCCACGTCCTACATAGCAAACACACACACACACACACACACACACACACACACACACACTCCTCTCTCTCCCTCTCTCTCCTTACAACTGTAAATCCTTGCCGTTGGATTAAGGAGGCTAAGAACCGAAGAATGTGTTAAAGCAGCATTTTACCTCTTTGCTGATCAAACACAGATGGGGTGCTGAAATCCATTGTTGTCTGTCTCATCATTTATCATCAGACTGGCAAAAAGCATCCAGGTCTCTGGAGAGGAGAAAACACCATCTCACACGTTACAGTCAACACAACAGTCAGATACAGCATCGTTTGCCAAGACCTCTGTTTGAGAATTAAACGTGCAGTAGAGCTGCAGGTTGTTGTCAAGGCAAAAATGATGAAAGTAGGTAAATGCTATTCCTGTAAATACATGCCAGGAAAAGGGTTACTCTATGGCTTCATTCATCAGCTATGCTTGTGTGTAAGTATTATATGCCCTCCACCCCCAAACAAATAAACAAAATGCCTCAAGCCCTAAAAAACAGTATTCATGGGGGCCACCTGCCTTGGATCTGGGCTGGGAACACACAGCAGGTCACCGAGCTTCTGCAGCTGGAATGTCGCTTTAAACCAACAGAAACCTCAATGGGTGAGTGAGGATTCACGGGCCAGACAGAGCATGTGCAGAGCTGCCAATGCAGTTTGCATTCAGCTGTGCTCTTGGTGGAGTGAGAGCCGCATTTGGGTCATGTGAGCAGACAGTGCCATCTCAATGGAACAGGACGTAAATATTGTAGCAGGAGGCTGCTGGCCACGTGCTGTGCGGAGTAATTATCCACTTCCGCAGTCTCCTCTTCTTCAGACCCCTTCAGCTCCCTTCTCCGACTGACAGGGAGGTTGGGGGAAAACATCTCTCATTTGAAAGGTTACATTTCAAGGCTCAAGTATTTGCGATGATAAAATTAAAACAGTCACAGGGTGTTTATTGGAGTGTTATATGTGGTGAAACCTAAAAAATCACCAAAATATACAACATTTGAGGAGCAGTTGAATAGTAGTAAATTCATCCTCTAGGTTAAAAAATCAGAGATATATAAATCTATGAGTATTATTCTGGTGGAATGCCACTAATCTATTGTTAAATGAAACAAACAAGTTATATATTTTATTGGTTCACATTTTTATAAAACCAGCATCTACCCACTATATATGTAAATATAATATGTTTATACATGTTCAAAGGAACCTTGAAAAAGATGTAGAAAGATACATACTAAACTGTTAATATTGGTTACCTCAGGGAATTGCAATTAAAGTGAGAAATTTCTAACTGTTCTTTATCAATTTCTATGTTTTGGCTTATAATAGTTGTCTATTATTTTATATTTGTGATAAAAATATGATATAATAAATTCAAACAAAGCTCTACATTCTAGATATGATCAAATGTTTGGATAAACCAGGCAGCCATGTAGTAGATGTTCTCATAAATGCTGTTGATAATAATAATAACTGTTTTCTTTTTTAACTTAATAGCGTGCGATGTGGAAATAAAAGCAAAAACCATTTTTCTCTGTATATGACCACATTTGTTTTGATATGCACTGATCTAATGTATAATTTGTGGTTTTGATAGACTCCTTCCTTATCTCTTGCCTCATATTTCCTCAGTGCCCATCATTTATTTTCCATCAACAAATTGGTGGGCCTCCCTCCTCTGTGACAATACTGCTGCTCACTCAAAATGCCACTACCTACCGTCCCTTCCCACATCAGCCCTTCTCCTCAAAATACCCTGTGTTCTTTTTATTTAAAAACAGAAGCAGAACATATATCTTACAAATCATTACTCAAAATGTGCTCCATAGGTAAATTTCTTAAATTTCCCAACCCCATTTCTTGTGTTAACCATGAGCACCAAGTGGGGGCACTGAGAGTGGTTTGAGGAGGAAGCTGAGACACTAAATGATCCTCAGTGCTTGTCCAAATGACAGAGGTCAAAGGAGTATTTTTTGCCACTAAATCCCAAACAGGAGAAAAACAAAGGCGGACTTCTCTTTCATTCACTTGTTCATGAATCATCCATTGCTATGGAAGGAGCACTGTGCTCCCATCATTTCTACAGGCACTGGAGATGCAGCTGTGAGCAAGACAGGACAGGTGCCCAGGCTCAGTGAGCTTGCACTCTTGGGTGAAACTTCTGCTTCTGGCCATGCTGGAGAAATAGGGACTGGATTCACCCTCCTGCCTTAAACAACTAGAAAACTGGGCAAAATAGCTGAAACAATGCTTTCTAGGCAGCAGGCAGCACAGGACAGTGGTCGCTGGGAGAAGAGAAACAAATGGGGTCAGAGTAAGGAGTGCCCAGCTCACTGCCTGGGGAGCGTTTCCAGGCCACAGGGCACAGAGGGGATAGTGGGCCGAATGGTTTGTGGAAGGGTCCACAAAAGACATGGATGTTGTAATCTTTATAACCCATGCATATGACCTTATTTGGAAAAGGGGTCTTCGCAGACATAATTAAGGATCTCAAGTTGAACTCATCCCAGGTTATCTGGATGTGCCCTAAATCCAATGACAAGTGTCTTTATAAGAGACATACAGACGGGACACACAGAGAGAAGGGGAGGGGCCGTGTGGGCACAGAGGCAGAGATGGGAACGATGCAGCCACAAGTCAAGGAGCACTTGCAGCCACCAGAAGCTGGAAGAGACAATAAATAGTCCCCTCGAGTCTTTGAGGGAGTGAGGACCTGTCAACACCTTGATTTCAAACTTCTAGTCTCCAGAACCATGAGAACCAACAAATTTCTATTGTTTAAAGCCACCAAAATTTGTGGTAATTTGTTACAGCAGCTCCAGGAAACTCTCAAAATAAATGCCCTGCTTCCAACACTGTTACATTTCTGTGAGCATTTATATCATTAACCAAATTAAAATATAAAGACATTTTCATGTTTGTAAAAGGGCTGCTTTGGGCTCCTTTTGAAGGAAAGCAGTCAAATAGAGTAAAAAGGGCATGAGCTGCAGTTTGTTTCTGTTAGGTGTGTGATTAGGACCAATTATATAAATTTTTGAGCCTCAGCATCTTAATAATATGTGGCATGGAGCTCCACCCTCTATCTTCTTGTGAGAGTTGACTATTGTTATCATTCAGTTCACTTCTTGGGCTGCAAGCATAGAGATAGTTCTTTCTATGCAACCAAAGCTGTTGCCTGGGCCTAGAGTGCTGTAGCATCAGCCTAGCTCACAGCAACCTCAAATTCCTGGGCTTAAGCAATCCTTCTGCCTCAGTTTCCCGAGTAGCTGGGACTACAGGCAGGCGCCACTGTGCCTGGCTAATTATACACACACACACACACACACACACACACACACACACACACACAAATATATATAGTTGTCCAGCTAATTTTTTTCTTTTTTTTTTTTAGTAGAGATGGGGTCTCGCTCTTGCTCAGGCTGGTCTTGAACTCCTGAGCTCAGACGATCTGCCTGCCTCGGCCTCCCAGAGTGCTAGGATTACAGGCATTGAGCCACCAAGCCCGGCCCTTCAAGTGCATTTTAATTAAGCACTTATTCACACTGGCCAGGTGCTTTTTACCTAGAATGTAGGAGGGGAAGAGAGGACATGGTCTGCATGACCATGCAAAATCTGGCTCTTTCTCTCCCCTCCAGTCTATTCCTCCCCATCTCCCTCCCTTTTCAACGTTTGGCCATGCTGATCTCTTCTGTTCCTTGAATGTGCCATACCCTTTCCTATCCCCCTCCAAAGACTTTGCTATTCTGTCTCTCTACTTGGAATGTTCTTGTCTCAGCTCCAATGCCACCATATTAGAGAGGCTCTCTCTGACCAGATTATCCACTCTCATACCCCATTAGTCACTTCCTTCTCCAGAGTGCTACTCTGTGAATTTACAATGAGAAATAGCCCTGCCAGGGAGACAGGGCCTTTGCCTATGTTGTGACAACTGTCTAGATCAGTGTTCTCAGACTATCTGCAGTGAAGGACGAGGTTTTTAAATTTCCAAATCATCATGGGTCCATGCATTCTTAAAGCATGATACAAATTAATAGTGGAAGCATAAAAAAAATAGGACGGAAAATGTAAGCTTTGATTTTTATTATTGGATTCAACAGGCATAATATTACATGTCAATAGATATAATCAGAACAAACATAGGATAAAAAGAACTACAAAAGCTGTACACATTGTTCATTGAAAATCTGTTTAGGTATTAGTGATCTGTGCTGTCCAATACAATAGCCACTAGCCACATGTGTCCATTTACATTTAAATTAATTAAAGTTAAATAAAACTAAAAATTCAGTTCCTCAATCACAGTAGCCACTGTGATTTTACCTTGTCATAATTAAAAATTTTTGCTCTTTGAGAGATGCTTGTAAGAAATGAAAACACAAGTCACAGACAGGGAGTAAATATTTATAAAACACAAGGCTGATAAGGATTTACATCCATAATATATAAAGAATATATAAAGGTTGTCAAAATTTCATGATAAAACAACCCAATTTTAAAAAGAGCAAAGATTTGAACCAACATATCATCAAAGGAGAAACACAGAAGTTAAACATGAAAAACATGATGCTCCACATCATTAGTCATTAGGAAAATTTAAATTAAACTAAGAGCACTTACCATGTGCTGGTGAAAATGCTAGAACCCTCATACATTGCTGATGGAAGAAGGGGAAATGGGGCAGCCATTTGGAAATGGTTTTGCAGTTTCTTACAAAGTTAAAGATAAATATGGCCCAGCAAGCCAACTCACAGGTATTTACTTAAGAGAATTGAAGACATATGTATGTGAACATTTATGACAGCTTTACTACCACAAAAAACTGAAAACAAACCAAATGTTCATCAGCTGGTGAATGGATAAACAAACTGTGATACATATATGATGCTATACCAGTCAGCAATAAAAAGGAATGAACTACTGATATATGCAATTAATGGATGAATCTTTACTATATTATGCTGAGTTAAAGAAGCTAGACACAAAAGGTTACAGATGGCATGATTCCATCTATCAGGTATTCTGGCAAAAACTATAGAGACAGGTGAGTGCTTTCCAGGGGGAGGTAATACACTATAAAGGGGCAGGAGTGATAGAAATATTCTGTATCTTGATCATGGTGATGGTTACATGCCCTATATTCATTTGTCAAACTCATAGAACTATATACCTTAAAAGGGTGCATGTTACTAAATATAAATCATACCTCAATAAACCTGAAAGAAGCAACAATACAAATCTTAATTCTATATGTTAATAATGTTAACTTAAATTTTAAAATACGTTTGTTAAAAATTAAAATGATTGAAACTAGCAGTTTTTAAGAATAAATAGATGCTACTTTTCTCAGGTATTTTTATACTTTTAGAGTATAGAAGACAACCTAACCTCAAAATATCACATAATGAACATTATCCTACTGTGCATGACTTTCCATGCAAGTGTGACAACACCCAAACTGGTCTACACCAGGTTCAGTGTGACAAGTTGGCTATCACAGGCTTGGAGGTGTGGCAACGGCAAATTGTTGTAACCATATCTAAGTGGTTGCATTTAAAGGTACTCTCAAGTTTTGTACTTACCTTGTCACAAACTGGTGACAAACAGTTCCTGGGATGGCACCAGCCATAGCACACACTTTGAGTAGTGTTGATCTAAATCTCTCTTCTCATGGTGGGATTCTTACGATCCAGGTCTCTGCTCAGAGAGGCCTTCCTTGACCTCCCTATTCCATTTAAAGGAGAAGCTGTCTCTCAGCCCAATTCCAGTTACAGTTAATAAAATGTCCTCATTTTTCTCTTCTTTTAATTATCATATCTGTAATTAACTTGTAATTCATTATGTCTTCATTGTCTGTCTTCTTGTAGTAGATGCTGGTTTCAGCTGACTTTCAAACGCCAGTATCTATATTTTCTTCTGAAGGTACTTTTTAAAAATGCAGAAGTCACTTTGCCAATTCTGAGGGTGGGC